AAAGAACGGGGAAGTGAATGCACTGGGAAACAGATGGGTACAAGTAGGAAAACCAAAAGTGTTGTACCCATGTAGTCTACCCCACTACCGCCTACACATACTGTAGCATATAAGTTTGACACAACCCCATAGGCAAAGTGGGGGAGAACAAGAGGTCACAAGACCAGTCAAGCAAAGCAAAGCAAGCTCAGGGTGGATCACAACGTCACCACAAATTCCGAGCACAAGTTCAAGGCCACAAGGCGAGTTCACATGCAAGATCATATATAAAGGTAAACAAGCAAGTGCAGGTAGAGATAGATCACAGTACAAGCAAGGTCAAGAAGTGAGCAAGTGAGGCCAAGTAGGCACAAGACCTAACATCGTACAGTAGCACTGATGATCACAAGGCGGAAGTGCCTTGGTGAAGATATCAGCTGTGTTAGCCTCAGAGGCCACGTAAGCAAGGCGCAGCTGACCACGCTGCTGCAGCTCACGAGCAAGGAAGTAACGAAGAGCAATGTGCTTCGTTCTGTGCTCCAGTGTGTGCTCCTAACACAAGGCCAGCATGGCCTTCTTGTCTACGTACGGAACTAGAGGAGAACGAGGCGGCTCTCCTAGGTCAGTCAGTAGGTAGGTGAGCCAGCATAGCTCCTATGCAGCCATGGCCCCCACGTAGATCTCAGCCTCACAGCTGGAGCCGAGAACCGAAGACGAGCGGGTGGACCGCCACGAAACAGAGCCAAAACCAAGGCTGAAGGTGTAACCCTGTGACGACCGCTGCGTAGCCTGGTCGTCAGCCCAAGAAGCGTCTGCGTGACCGGTGAGGACCACTGAACGCCGCCCTCCAAGCACTAGCCCCATGCCCGACGTACCGCACAAGTAGCGCAACACCCTCTTCGCTGCAGCCATGTGCTCTGGTCGGTGTCTCCCAGGAGCAACATAGCGTGCCAAGATGCTAAGAGGGTATGCAAGGTCAGGTCGAGTGCAGGTCATCCGGTACATGAGGCAGCCAACAAGCTCTTGGTACGGGCCACTCGGCTCTACGGACTCATCCAAAGGCAGAGCTGTAGAGAGAGAGGGCGAGTAGACAGAGGAGTGGCCTGAGGCGAGGAGTACGTGAAGTCGAAGCGCTGAAGGACCTACTGCACCATGTGTGACTGAGTCAGGGTAATGGTGCGCTGTGCTCTGTCACGGGTGATCTGCAAGCCAGGGTAGCTGCGCTGTTCACCCAGGTCTGTGCACGTGTGTCTCTTCTGCAGCTCCGACTTCACGTGGGCGAGTCCAGCAATGCCAGCAGTGGTAAAGACCAAATCGTCGACGTACACGAGGATGTAGAACGGCGGCAAAGAGGTGTCGGTGCGTAGAAACAGCGATGCGGTCGGTAGTAGAAGGAGCAAACCCAAGAGCCGCAAGTGTAGTCCTCAGTGTGTCGTGCCACTCACGGGGCGCCTGGCGGGAGACCGTAGACTGGCGGACGGCTCCACTCCTGGTACCAGTACCAGGAGGAAACGACCCAGAGAAGCCAGGTGGGCGGCGTAGCCAGATCTCCTCGTGCAGGCAGCCCTGCAAGAAAGCTGTGCTGAAGTCAAGAGAGTGAAGCTCGTAGTCGCGCTGAGCGGCTATGTGCAGCAGCACCCGAAGAGTGGTCATCTTCCAGGTGGGAGAGAAGGTCTGAAAAAAGTCAACTCCCTACGCTCACCGAAGCCTCGAGCCACGTAACGCGCCTTGAAGATAGGCGGAGAACTCGGCGGCCGCTTCACCCTCAAAATCCACATGCCACTGACAATGTTCGCCCTAGATGGGGGAACCTCGTCAACGTAGGTGGCTGTGGACTTCCAGGAAGCCATCTCTGCGTCCATGGCTGACTTCCACTGAGAGGAGTAGGGACCTTTGATCGCCTCAGCGTACGATCGAGGATTCGGGATGTCTGGTGCATCCGGGTCTCCCTCAGGGGCAACCAGCATGGACACGAGATGAGGCAAAACAGTAGCAAAACACTGGAACTCCTCCTGCATGTCCTCAAGAACGTCCGTGCTAAGAGCACACTCACCCCCGACGGACGGAGGACAGACAGACTCAGACGCAACAACAAGACTAGCAGCGTAGTCTAGACGATAGCGAGCAGCAAAGACGACAAGCTCAGCAACTAAGGGCAGACGAGACAGTGGACTCAAAGGAAGGGTCAGTGATAATAGTAGCCAAGAGACACGTGACAGTAGGACTGGCAGCACGAAGCGAGTCAAACTCCGGGTCAGCAAGAACAGAAAGAGAGGACTCTGGAGGAGACGGCAACGAGACAACGCAGAGGAGCAGTGGAAGGACCCAGTGCCATCTGGTGTGTTACTGGACCGCAGGAGGACGCGGACGGCGGAACACGACTACTAGTGCGAGCAGCACGAACAGGCGACGCAGGACGAGACGCAGGCTCACGACGCTCAGCAAGACCTCAAGTAGGACCAGTGTAGGGAGAAGGAGCAGGCAGGGGGGAGGCGGGCTGTAACTGTGACTGGACAGGTTGTGGACACTCTAAGGGAGGAGTAGGACCAGTAGAAGGCGGGACCAAGAACCTACTCAAGGAGCAGAAGGAAGTACGGCCGCGGCCACTCAGCGCCTCTTGAAACAGCAGGGACAGCACCAGTACCCCCAGCGGCAGCACCACCGCCAGCAGTACCTCTAGCTCCAGCAGCGCCCAACTCCAGCACCCTCAGATGTACCAGCGCCAGCAGCACCTCAAGCGCCAACACCCCTAGCAGCTCTAGTACCTCCAGCAGGGACCAACTCCAGCAGCCCCAGCAGCACCCCCAGTCCCAACTGCTCCAGCACCGCCAGTACGAGCACCTCCAGGACCAGTGGCTCCAGTACCTCCAGCGCCGACCCTAGGGTCAGCAGCAACAGTAGCACCTCCAGCTCTAGCAGCATGGCTCCAGCGCCAGGCAAACCACTCGCGTAGCTCCTATGGAGAGGGTAGCTCCCGCCGAGACGAAGCACCCGAAGTACCCCCAGACCCAGCACCGCCAAAGGCCACACGAGCAGACCCAGCACCCCTAGTCTCCGCACCTCCAGGCTCAGCACCCCCATGCTCCGCACCCCCGGGCTCCGCAGCCCCAGGCTCAGCACCCCCACGCTCAGCACCCCCAGACTCAGCACCCCCATGCTCAGCACCCCTAGCAGCACCAGAGTCAACAGCTACCTCGACAGGCTCGACTGCGTCTACCTGGGACACACCTGACGGGGCAGGACCCTGAGGGGGGAGAGGGTCCACCGGGGGGGGACCTGGCGCAAGGAAGAGCGGCGGCGGGGGGAGGGGCGAGTGTGGTAGGGGAAGAGACGGTAGTAAGGAACCGACTCGTCAAAGGTGACGTCCTGGGAGGACAGAACACGGCGCAAGGTGGGGTGGTAAAACTGCCAACCAGGCACGTCAGGGGGGAAGCCAAGGAAGACGCAGGGAACAGCACGGGGGGACAGCTTGTCCGCAGACAAGTCGCGGACAAACGCCCGAGATCCCTAGACACGAAACGCAGACGCATCGTCAACCTTCCCCGTCCACCGCAAGGTGGGGGGGGTCTCTAGCAAGGAGACCCAGGGCTGAAGGTTGATCTGATGTGCTGCGTACCGAACCGCAAACGACCACAGAAAATGGGGAGCAGCCGCATGGATCATGGACGTACGAGCGACGGTCCATGACCATGCCAATGCGGCGCTCAGCAATCCCATTTTGCTGTGGAGAGGCCGGAAGTGTGAAGGTCTGGCGGATGCCCTGTGCATGACATAAGGCTCCCAGAAGGCCAGAGGAAAACTCCCCGCCTCTGTCAGAGTGCAGACGCAGAACAGGAAAGTCCGAGCCGAAACTCTCTCTGAGCTGGAGACGAGCTGCGCGGATCCAGTCGATCAACACCTCAGTGACGTCACCGTTGCTGTGCAAGGGGAACACCGTGGTGTAACGCGAGTAGTCTTCAACCACCAACAGGAAGTAACGCTCGTAACCCTGGCCACGGACGCGGGTGGGGCCCCGCACGTCCATATGAAGAGTCTGCAGCGGAGCCTCTGTCGGAGGAAACTCGAAGGAGTGAGGGGCGGCGCGCTGCCGCCCCTCGACATAGGGAACGCAGGTAGGGGCAGGCCTCGGAGGGAGGGGTGGGAGGGACCGGGGGAGACCAGAAACAAGGTAACGGGAGGCCATGCCTTGGAGACGAGGCAGGGAGGGGTGACCAAGGCGGTGGTGCCAGAGGAGAGTCCGATGGGATAGGAGACGACACGAGCAGGGAGCAGACTCAGGACCAGACCTGGACGCTGCAGCAAACACCTGACCCGACGCAGCTACATGACTAGGAACTGTGGGCCCTAGGAACCGTTCCCACTAGGGAACCTGCTCTATACCATGTGAAAGAACGAGGAAGTGAATGTAGTGGGAAACAGATGGGTACAAGTAGGAAAAACTAAAAGTCTTGTACCCCATATTGTCTACCCCACTACAGCCTACACAGACTAGAGCATTTAAGTTTGACAGAACTCCCAACGGAAATAACTGAAAAACAATGTGAAAATGAATGCGCACAAAAAATATACAAAATGCATGACGTTATGCGGCAGCTGGTTGTCGTGCAAAAATGATATTTGCACGCAACTCAATACTCACGCATACTGCTTCACTCCTCATGCATCACGCCTCATGCCCTCACACCTCATGCCTCACACCTCATCGCTTCCCCCCTTCTCAAATTTAATGAAGGGAGAGAAATGAATTTATGCCTTTTTGTGCACATGTCCATGTATGCATTTCCTTTCCATTCCACCAAACAGTTGTGTGACGCAATGACCATCACCCGTTACTACCGTATTACCGTTCGGTACTCCGACTGTGCCATGCCTTCGCTTAGAGTGCTTGTACTGTACTCTTCATGGCCGTGAACTATTCATTGAACTACCATAGGTAAGGTACAAAACCACCTTAATCAAACATGTTTCCTAGTAGCACATCATTTTGCCAATGTTATGAATACAGGGCCTGGGTTGATGAATTATTCCTTGTCAGCATAATCTTTCATGGGATCATCATAGTGAACTCTCTTAAGCCGATATACCTCCATATCCTCAGCCGTGACCTGCCATCATGTGAAATTTGGAATAAGACAAAAAGCAGATTAGCAAGACATGTAACACTAGGGCAGCGCCGAACCACTCATCATGATCAACCTTCAACGTACTGCACCATCGCGCCGAACACCTAATGCCATACATCCCATCCTCGTGAAAGCTAACGCATGATCATAATGCACGGCTCATCATTATGATGACACATTTTGAATACACATACCCTATTATCCTTCTTCATGCCACATCTGGAATGACACATTCATCATCTTCATGCCACATATCAGCAAGACACATACCTCGTCATCATGCCGCACATTGTACTTTCTCTTCCTCTCGTCCTTCTCCTCCATTGCACGCAACTCCATCTGTCATGCATATGGGAAATGGGGGTAACACGAGCTGTATGAGCAATGCGATAAGAGTTTTAATATCATGTGTGCATGTATACAGTATGTAGTTTTGAATCTTGGTCCAAAGTACCCACCTTCACGGAAGTGGGGAAGTGGGGGAAGCAGGTGATGTGTATGTAAAGAAGAAGAAAAATGCAAATCAGCCACCTTTATTGTGGTAGAGGGAATGATGGAGGGGTCTGACTGAAGGACTGTTCAGCACATGTTACCAAGAGCAATTGGCTAAACACATACAGGACAGCGGGACTGATGCCAAACCGGCATGCCAAACATGAACAATAAAGCTGCGAAAATTGACTAAAAATCCCCACGTGGGTGACGGACCGTCAATAACTGCAAAAAACCACTACGGACCGTGCGCATGTCAACAGAAGCACATACCTTCTTAGCTGCCTGCTTAAGCTTCTCCGGGTCCAGTGTTGATGGATCCACGTCCTCCCCTCCCGCACTTCCCCATGGCAACACCACCCCGCCCCCTGCAGCTGCTGCTTTTCCACTGCTTCCATCACCCCCACCCTCACCACCTTCTTTCCCACCCTCGAACCCCCTCCTATCATCACCTAGAGCGCCTGCCAAACCAGCAGCTGTGGAGGCTTCCGCAGCTGCCTCTGCGGCTTGGATGCCTGCCGAGCCTGTGCAATAGCTCAGGCGCAACATCTGATGGCAGCAGGAGTAGCCCCACTGCCCATCCTTCCAGTAGGATCCCCACACAGACGTGTGGTTGTTGACATACACATCCTCCTCGTACCTGGTGGCAATGAAAAATATACAAATATTGTGAAGAGAAAGGGCAATAATGTCAATAGGAATTGAAATGAGAAGGAAAGTAGAATGATAGATTCAGTAAACATCAATTCCGCCTTCATTTCTCCCTTGAATTCAGCCATTCAAGATGCTCCTCTCCCAACTAAGGGAATCAACATGCATTTGTGCATGTTGTGATTGCGTAGTTACCACCTCAGAGTATTTGCTCATTCTCACATATTGTACCTTCTCATTGACCTGATTCCACTCACAGGCTTGTACTGCTTTTGAGAAATTTCAGAAGCGATCCTGCCTATCTCGATGTAGAGTACCTGACTTTCCTGTATCGTCATCCTCGCGAGCTGGTTACCACCGCACGTAATTCGCTGACCACCACTGCGTTCACCTGCTGCTGTCCCTTCATAACGCCATTCCCTTCCTCCCTGCACACCCTCCAGTCCATTTTTGCATTACCACTGCGCGCACCTACCTCTTTGCGCGTACCTGCTTCGCGCCACCACCAGCTTCTCCTGTCCCTTCACCGCGCGTCCGCTCCGGTCGTACTCCACGGCCGTCTCCGTCTGCCCCAGCAGCAGCGCGCCAGTCACGCCGTTCGCCTCGGGATCCGCCGCCGCGTTGCCGTATTTCTCCCGCACCGCCTCGCGCTTCGCAGCCAGCAGCCGCTCCTTGCGCACTTTGAATTCGCGGTGCAGCAGCTCCGCCTGGCTCGGCGCGCCTTGCACGTGCACCTCCCCGCGCGCGTCGCGCGCCGCTTCATTCGCGCGAGCCGCGTGCAGCGCGAGCTGGCGAAACTCCACCGCCTGCCCGCTAATCCGATTGAAATTATCCCCTTTATAAAACTTCTCGTCCGCGTCGCATCCAGGATTCGGGTCCTCGCGCATCGACCGCGTCTTAGGGTCGTAGTACGCGGAGTTGACATCCAGATTAAGGAGGTATTTCGCCGTATCTTCGCGGATCCGCAGGTTGCGAACCGTCCCGGAGCTGCCGCCTCCCGTCGTCCTCACGCGCTTCTCCACCTTGGCGAAATCCCGCTGCTCGCTCTCGTCCACCCTCGCCTCATCCCTCTCCTCCTCCCCCCCTCCCTTCCCTTCTCCCTCTCCCCCCTCCCCCCCATCCCCCGCTTCCCCTGCTCCCCCCGCCGCTCCCCCCTCGCTGCTCAGCCTCCGCAGCTGCTGCTCCTTGCGGAACCTCCGCCGCGCCTCTTCGCGCACAGCCATGCGCGGCGACGACGCGCGCGTACGTGGAGGGGTCGAAGCCGTTCCAGCGGTCGCGCTTGCCGTCGAAGTCGAGGTCGAACGACTCCACCTTCTCGTCCGCCGCGATCCACTGCGACGTGAACTTGGCGCCCAGCTTCCGCGGCCGCTCCGTGCACGACTTGTGGTCGTGCGTCATGGCGCCGCAACTGCATACGTGCACGAGGATTTGGGGGACCGAAGCAGATGGGAGGGGCATGGGGGGTTCATAGGCGCCTCAAAACAAGGGTCGAGCCCTTTCTGCTGGCCAGCCAGCCCGCTTGCCGTCGAAGTCCAGCTCGAACGACTCCACCTTCTCGTCCGCCGCGATGCCCTGCGACGTGTATTTCGCGCCCAGCTTCCGCGGCCGTTGGGTGCACGACTTGTGGTGGTGCGTCATGGCGCCACTGATGTGTGCATCCATGAAGTGAGATCATGGGGGGAGCGCCATGAGGGGATTGAGCAGAGAACCACATCACGGGTCAGGTGGACATGTCGCTCCCATCTTCGCAGCCTCTCCGTGCACGACTTGTGATAGTGCGTCATGGCGTTGCATTGCAGGTGCATAGTGCGTCATGGCGTTGCATTGCAGGTGCATGAATGCATGAGAGCGTGGGTGACACGAGGATGGGAGGGACGGAAGCAGAGGGGAAGGGGATGAATGGGGGATTTGTGACAGCATGAGGGGAGGGATGGGAGGAGAGGCGATCGTCATGAGGGGATTGAGCAGAGGAGAGCCATATTCACTGCAGCTGCGTGCATGACAGGGGGAAAGAGGGGGGATGGATTAAGGCCGCTTCTCTGCGTGCGTCATGGTCGTGCATCAGTGAGAGACGGAGAAGAGGGACGGGAGGAGAAGCGGGCACCAAGAGGGGGTTGAGCAGAGGAGAGCCATTCACGGCCCTGGCGGAAGCCAGGGGATGAACTGCAACGTCAAATTCGCGCCGAGCTTCCGCGGGCGTTCCGTGCCGGCTCGAGGGGGGACAAGGCCGAGATGGATTAAGGCCGTTTCACTGCGTCAGTGGCGTATTACGTGCTCCGTCGGGTCGACCCCGTTTCGCCCTCATGGCGAAGAAGTAAGACGGGTGACCCGTTTCTTCTTTCCCCCGTTTGTGGTCATGACTTGTTGTGCGTCATGGCTCTGCAGACGCATTAGGGGAGGCGAAGCAAGGGTCACGAGGGGCTGGCTAAGAAGAGCTCACCGGCGCATGGTACGTGCTCTGTGCACAAGTTGAGTGAGTGAGTGCGCGAGTGTGTGAGTGCGTGAGTGTATGAGAGATATGAAGGAGGGCGGGTTGGAGGTAAGGAGGAGGAAGGTGACGGATGGCTGCGTGCCTGCCACCACATGATTTCTCTTTGACCCACGACGCACATGGCATGAGCTAACAGTCCGAAATGCTGGTTCCGGCCTTCCATTATCGGGCAGAACTTTTGCTGGGGATGGGAACGGCAAGAAGGAAGCTCATTCGAGGCAGTAGCACTTGAGACACGACACGAAGTCAGCTCACACTCAATCAGCACTCGAGGAAATCTCTGAGCCCAGGAGCGGGGAAACTCACTTGGTGCAAGCGCCTTTGCGGTACTTGGTGGCTTGAAACACCTTGGCTCCACGGTCGTACCAGTTCTTGTTCTGCTGCCCACCCTCCGCCTTCCAGTTGCGCTGGTGCTTCAAACTCTGCACGAGCGCGCACGTGTACAATGAAACGCACAACAAATACACACCAAGCTGAAAATCGCCATGAGCTGAAAGAGCTGAAAAGACGCCATTTCAGCACATGAACGAGCTGTTTTCCTACATGGATGCTGTAACTAATTCTTCCATGCATGCCTTGCTGCTGGTGGGTATACAAGTATCGAAGTGGTGTTCACCGTACTACCTCCACGGGTCGTTTGGCGAAACCACTCACGGGTCGGTCGGCGTTGAGGTACCACGGCGCGGACGACATGTACTGCGGGATGTGCGGGTTGATCTCCTTGCCGTCCTCATCCACCTCCGCCGGCACCAGCCCCGCCTTGCGCGCCTCTTCGAGCTCTTTGGCCTTCTTGTGGTCCTCGCGCGGCTTGAACCCCACCGCTGACGTTGCCATCACGACGAATGCGTGTTTTTCCTTTCGGACCTTGCGGAGCAATGACCTTTCCTGTTCAGAACGCTTTTTTACTGCTGGCTGGTGGCGAGAAGAGACGATGATTGGGATCTTGTGTTTCCGCTGTGCGCTTGAAAGAGGTATGCAAGGTAAGCAAACTATGGAATCGGAAAGAAGAGTGCGTCCTGTTCCTGCTCGATTGTTACCCAAATGGTTGTCGTTCTGGCAATACTACCAACACATCTCCCTGATAGTACTCCGCACTAAAGAGTGCGCCTCCCGCGCAGATATTAGGCCACCAATTAATTTGTGAAATGAAAAACTAAGCTTTCTGAAAATCCGTCGTCTAGGAAATAACTGGCCTACTTTTATTTCTCTTTCCAGCCAAGTCGCAGAGACCTTCGCAGCATTTGGAGGTGGTTTTGGGCCGTGGGGAACAGAAGAGGGATGGCGAGGGAAGGAGTTGGGAGCAAGGCATCTTCTTCTGCCCAAACGAGACGGGATTGACACTGGTTTTGGGGCAAAGATTGCTGGCTTGGGAACAAACAACCACGAAATTCTAGTTTCGCGTGGAATGGTCAGGTCAAATGGTAAGTGCTGTGATACGATTGGCTGAGACTGACGGTCTTGGGTGGCGTCGTACATTCGAGAAGCTACGACGAGGGTGTGCGATTCGACTCGGCATGTGCGGTATACGCGTCTATGGCCAGACTGAAAGTCGACATTGAAAGTGGTCTGTACCTGAACATGAATTACTCAAAATCCGGGTTCAATTACGGTAAGATTAACTGATATGAAACGCAGGAAGCATTTTCAAAATCTCATACGGTAATCCTGCTTGTAATGTATGCATTTTAGAGGGTACTGAAACAGTTGCAATTGGAAGTCCCCCTGGCCCTAAGGTGCCCTGTCTGTTGGCTATCGGCTCCATAAACAAGAGTACATGAGTCATCATGAATCATGATGAATCATGATTCTAGCAAAAAGGTAGCTGCCTGAGTAACTAATGTGAGGACCCTATGCTACAGTAGCTCGTACCCAAGCACTGCTACAGCTAACAACTACTGAAATGTGAAGTTCCTTGAATATTCTCTCGCATTTCAGATGCACGGCAAGACATTTCATGATGTTTACGGGAACTACAAGTGACCTCTCTGGAACTGGACTGGACCCTTCATTCCCAATGAGCCATGGCAACTATGCCAAGGAGGCAGCTTGTGAGCATGTGACGGGGGCAGCTTCAGCCGCCGCCTGAGCTGCGAGCTGGTCGGCCTGCTTTGCCTCGGCGATGAGCGCATGCAGAATGCGAAACACGTCTTTGCGGTTCTCCTCCCGGTGGCTGTACCTGTCGATGCCCCAAGCATGCACATGCCCGACCATCCCCATACACACAAAAGTGTGCGAAAGCACAAACATTCCCATGGATACACACATACACACACAACACGATTATGAAACTCGTAACAGCAAGAGGAGGAAGCAAAGTCACATGAGATAAACAAGCACCGTGGGCGAACCAAGCAGCTTAGGTGCTGCACAACCGGGGCAAAACTGAGTCCCGTTCCACCAAAAAAAGTGCTGTTTGATCGCGAGCCTCACCTCTCGCTGACGATGGTGAGCTCATCGCGGTGCGTGTTGTAGCGCCGCCCCACCAGCGCCAGCAGGCGCTCCTTGGCGAGGCGGGACAGCTGCAGCTCGCGCACGAACACGCTCACCTTCACCTTGCGGTTTGCCGGGTGCCACGCGTCCCCTCCTGCCGGCAGCAAAGCAGGGGGCAGGCGGGGTGTGCAGCGGTTGTGGTGTGAGTGTGGTAGTGAGTGGAGGCAGGCACGGCTGATGGCGGCAAGGCAATGGCATGCCCCGCAACACAACAGCTGGTGTACGAAGGTGCGAGGAATCGAACCAAGGTTAGAGAAGAGATTCCAGCCATATAGAGCAACATCGTGCCATGCCAAGTTGGCAGCGGTGAGCAGCGTTGCATGCATGCGCTGCACTTACCCGGCCCCAGCACCATCCGTGTCTCCCATCTCAGCTCGGGACCCTCCCCTTCATCCTCCTCCTCCTCCCCATCGCCTCCTAACGCATCCGCTGCAGGATGCGGGGCGAATGAACAAAGGGAACAGCACAGTGGGGGTCAGCACAGAGGGGGTCAGCACAGAGGGTAAGCACGGAGGGTAAGCACGGAGGGTAAGCACGGAGGGTAAGCACGGAGGGTAAGCATGGAGGGTAAGCACGGAGGGTAAGCACGGAGGGTCAGAATTGTAGCAGAGAAGGAAAGAAGAGTGCAAGGAGGTTCAGGAGCGTGGCAGGAGCAAGTGCACCATCTCAATGACGCCTCGAGCTTCCTCACCAGTCTACTTTCCCTTTTGCTCAATCTCGGCGTTCTTGCCTTTCCTGCTCGTTCCCCTTCTGTTGATCGTCCCGACCTGACAACACGCCCATTCACCTGACAGCACCCCCCATTCACCTGACAGAACCCCCCATCACCTGACAGCACCCCCCATCACCTGACAACACGCCCCTTCACCTGACAGCACCCCCCATTCACCTGACAGCACCCCCCATCACCTGACAGCATGCCCCAGAGCGCGGGGTCGCCCAGCCACTTGTCGACCACCCCGCGTGCGTCGTACAGGTGGCGGTACTCCGCCTCGTCCGCGGGCTCCTCGAAGCCCTCCGCCTCCTCCTCTATGTCGTCCCCGTACGTCCCGTACTGCCGCCGCCTCCGCTGCCGCCCCTCCCCCCCGCCCTGCACCGCCGCCAGGTATGGTGCAATGGCCGCGGGCGGCGCTGGATCCGCGGGGAGTTGGTTCGGAGCCGAAGGAAATGGTTGGGGGCCGGGGGGGGATGGTTGGGGGCGGATGGAGAAGTGTCCATAGTGTCCCGAGAGGGGGGTTAGGTGAGGGATGAATAGGGACCGTGACGCGCGACGAGCGGCGACGTGGGGGTGAGCGGAGTGCGCAAGAGGAGGAAACACTCACAAAGGTCAACCGCTTCAGCCACGTCACCGCCCGACGCTTCTCCCTCCACCGCCACGGCTGCCGGCGGCAACTCGCCGCCCTGACCGTCGTTTTCGCTGCCGTCATCTCCGCCGCCACCCGCGCCACTGATTGCGCTCCGCCACCGCACTCCGCCCGTCCCCATTCCTGAACCTGCATTTCCGCCTGCTATCCTGAACCATCTCGAAGCGCCCGCGATAGAGAGTATCTGGGGCGAATCAAGCGCATGTGTTCGTTTATCGTCAAACTTGTGCGGTGACGGCTGCAGCGGGCATGGGGACGAGTCGCAAAGATCGGATCTCGTCGCGGGGGTGGCGGCAGCCGATGAGTGCGCGTAAGGGAAGAGAGCTGCCGGCGACGCGGTCGCCTGAGGCAAATGCCGGACGGATCTACGGATCGACGCGGACGTGACGCGCCACATGGGGCTGGGTCGACGTAAGTGCAGCGCTGACGATGTCGGTGTTGTGTTCGGGGAAGGCCTACAGAGTGGAGTTGTTGGCTTGGGAATTGGAGGAGGAAGCTTTGTTTGAACTCGTTTCAGACCGAGCTTCGAAGCTAGCAACGCAATAATATCATATATATTATGTTTAGGTGTAACGTACCAGAAAAGTGATCTATTTCTCTTTTCTTGGTGTGTTGCGTATGCCCACCTATATGGGTCCGCGTTGACAGATGGGGAATCCGACCACGTCCGACCCGGGTATGACCTAACGACTCAGCCTGGTTCCGGCTGTCCCACCACGGATCTTAGCCGTTCAATCCCTACTCAAGGGTATCCCTCGCTGGGGGAATAGGCTTCACCGTCTATATGGACAAGCACCGACCAGCTATTGCTAGGTGCACACAGGGGTTGATGGTAGAATCCCTTATATTATCAACGGGGAGATACAGAGTAGCAGCGGAAAGCGAACCATTGAATGATATTTCCCTTAGAATGATTCTACTCTTATACTATCGGGCCCGTCTATTCTACTAGACGGTTATTCCATCCCCACATGCGGCTTGAGAAACCGCATGTAACCTCCATGCATGCTCGCTGCAGTCGGCTGTATTCGGTTCGGCAACCGTTTCCAACCTCTTGCCGTTTGGACATCCTCGGTTGATCCTGCATGCATCCGGACCGGCTGATTCATGCCCATATCGGTCCAAGCGGCTTTAGCGACCGCAATAAACCTTCATTGACTCGGAAATATGATTCGTCGCGGCAGAACAATTGCCGTTCTGATTCGGCTGCTGGATCAGGAGTGAAACTCGATGCTCTGGCAGTTGCAATTGCAGCAGGGTGGTGGTGCATGAACGGTCGGGCGGTTTGGTCTCGCCTGGCTGTAATTGACGATCGACCTTCTTGGTTGAATCGTGGCCCAATTGTTGCAGTGTCTTCTTCTAGACAGTTATTCCATCCCCACATGCAACCGCATGTAACCTCCGTGCATCCTAGCTGCAGTCGGTTGTATTCGGTTTGGCAACCGTTTCCAACCTCCTACCGTTTGGACTTCCTCGGTTGATCCTGCATGCATCCGGACCGGCTGATTCATGCCCATATCAGTCCAAGCGGCATTAGCAACCGCAAGAAACATTCGTTGACTCGGGAATATGATTCGTCGGGGCGGGCCATTTGCCGTTACATAGGGGTCTTCTTGCAAATAGTGTCTTTTCGTTATGAGTGCAATTGAGAGAGAACAGAGATTGCACTATCGAAGCAAAACAGTACAATGAGTGAAGGTATGAGCTAATGTTTAAATAGCGAAGGCCTTTCGGCAACGCTAACGCACTCGCGAAGAGATGCCACTCATACCTGATGCCGAGGTTGGGAAATGGCAGAGCGTAGGATCGGGTTGCGGGTTACCAACCAAGCCGGGTGGTCTGGGCATGATGGGAACAGTGGCGGGTGTCAGAAGACTAAGTGAGGATGAATGCATTGAAGAGAAAGGTGGTACAAGTACTAACCCTAATTGGGTTATACCCCTTATGGGCTACCCCACTACAGCCTACACATATTAACCA